CTATCCAGAAGGATACCATGGTCGATGGTATCGAAAGCCGCTGAGAGGTCCAGGAGAACCAACAGGGACGCACTCCCCCTGTCCTTCTCCCTGCACAGGTCATCGTACAGGGTGACCAAGGCAGATTCAATACCGTACCCGGGTCTGAAGCCGGACTGAAATGGGTCCAGATAATCAGTTTCATCCAAGAGTGCTTGGAGTTGTCCCGCCACCACTCGCTCTAACACCTTGCCCATTTGACACTAGAAACCAAACCTTTAAGGGCATTTCCTTAACCTTTTCAGTATCTCTGAGGCAACTTTGTGCTCTGTTAGTCAAGCAGAAACATTATTCATATCCCATAAATTTATTTTCTCCCACCTGTGGAAATAAGATCAGTTCCAAGTTTTCCTGTCAGTTCCTTATCAAAGTTATTTCTAGTGTTTCTAAACCAGTTGATGTTCTGTATACAAAATAATGTGTTATACCAAGCTATCTCATAAAGGGGAAACGAACATTTAAAGGATGTTTACTTCAAAGCAATCTCAGCAGATGGTGGAGAAGAGGGACTTTATTTATTACTAAGCTCTGAATTAGGGTCAAGTTAGATTTGACACTTGCCATGTACTTATTTCAAGCATGAGGGCATAAAAAAGCAAGCAGGAGGCTTGAACCAGATCTGAACTTTGACATGAGTAGTGGTGGGGGGGGGGAGGAAGTTAAGCATTTAAAAAAATTCTTTGACCCCCATTATGGCCCAGATCTGTATCACATACCATGCACCTGCCATTTGAAATGAGAACTTTTTCTCTGTGTAAAAAGCAGATGCAGTAGCTCCTGGTTCAGGTACATAGCATGGGTCAAAGGATTAAAGACAGGGTTCTTTAGTTCTTTAACTCTCATGCCAGAGTCCCAATCTATGTTAGGTGACCTGTGCTGGGCTTTCTTTTTTAAGAAAAGACTTTTTCTTTTTAAGAAAATAAAAAGACTAAAAGGCTTTTTGTTTTAAGCCTGCATATTAGGCTAACCATGTGACTACAGGCAGTCCCCGAGTAATGAACGACTTTCTTTCCTGATAAACAGACATTCATCCTTAAGTTGAATTTGTATATAAGTTGGATCACAATTATTCACCCTGTCACATTTGCAGGGCTTAGAGGTACAGGGCCGCTGTGAACAGGGCTGTCTTAACAGCATTATGGGCCCTGGGCAAAGCAGTGTACTGGGGCCCCTACCACAAGTACAACTACTGTTAAGTTTGGAAGTTTTCCAATTTTCCAAGGGTTAACATACACAGATTAGTATGGGGCCCATGGGCAAGTGCCCATCAGGCCCATGCGTTAAGACAGCACTGCCTGTGAAAGTGGAAAAAATGCAAATATCTCTAGCCCTCCCCCCACTCCAAACTTGTCAGTGCCTCCACTTCAGAAGAAGGAAATGCCAGATAGATTTTCCTTTCCAGATGGGTAGGGTAGGTAGCCACGTGTTGGAGGCCGCCTCCTCTCCCTTTTGCTTCCTGTATGGTGACCCTCCCACTCCACCCTTTCATTTCCTCTGTATGGTAATAGCGATTTTCTGAAGTATTTTTTAATTAATAGGCTTTATGGCAGTTTATTTATAAGTACAGATTGTTCGTAACTCAGACATTTGTAACTGAAGGACTGCCTGTACATGCTATGGCCTTGAGTTTGCCCACTCAGGAAAGGTGTTATAGAGCAGGGGTGGCCAAACCGGTGGCCACATGCTGCTCTTCGAGTTTATTTTGTGGCTCACTGCTTACCACCTGGAGCACCCACGGGCGCCCATTTACTGCCTGCCACCTGCCGCCACTGCCTGCGGGCGCCCACTTGAGGCTCTCAAACAACTGCCATTTACTCTATGGGGCTTTTCCATTGATCAAGTCTGACCACCCCTGCTAGGGAGGAACTGAAGAGAGCATTCTTAAAATACATGAGTACTACTTTCTGTTATAAAGCAAAGTAAAAGCTTCCCCTCTATCTCCTAGCAGAGGAAGACAAAATACAGAAGAAAACTGTATATAACTCAATAATGCAGCCGTATCTTGAAAATTATGTACAGTTCAAAGTTGCCCTAGCTCAGACATGGAATAATGTGATGTTGAAAGGTGCAGGAAATGGCTCAGAAATTATGTGATTGAAACTAGGCAGGTTTTGCTGTAAGTATGGTTGGATGAGAATCAGAGCAGAAGCCTAATGCTCCCAACAAAGAAAGCCATTATTAAGTTGTATACTTCATATGTGTGTGTGTGTGTGTGAATAAAAAAGATTACAAGTTGGAAGTTTAGGGCTGCAGCCTCAAACATTTTAGCTCACAAAAGAAACTGTTAAGGGAAATAAATATTTCCCCTGTGTCAACAAAATAATGGTTCACTTCTCTCAGAAGCGTTAGGCTTCTGTGCAACTATTTGTTCACAATATGAACTGAATATCAGCATGGCCAAGTAGTTGTGTAAAGAGACCCAAAAAAGCTAGCCAGCAGTATTTGAAATGGGAAGGAGGCCTATATTATTTTCTTGTAATATAGTTATTTATATAAAGTATTTTTATGTCACTCCTCAGCCAAAAGAGCTCCTAAAACAGCTTTCACATAACCAACTATGTTTGATAATGTGACTTGTCTCATTCCATTCAGTTGCTGAACATTATTCTTGTGTAATCAAGTTTAGAAAGTACCACAAACCATTCTGCAGGAGGGCTGTGTGCATAAGGAACTTTCTGTGGGGATTTTTTTTTTTTATTACTGTACAAGTGTAAAAGCAGCTGCAACATAGAAGCTTGGTCGGATACTATATAATTTTCTCTGCATTGCAGAAATCTTGAATTTCAGAGCAAGCACTATAACATAAATTTCTGCCTCACCACAGATCCTTTGCTCAGTTTCCTCTAATTAATACTCGATTCACCAGGTTAGGACAGTCAAAGGGAACATCAATCCCTCACGCAAATGAAGCCTTAGGAACTGCTGCCTGAGCTACTTGCCTCAATTGACTGAAGATGCAGGAACAATTTAGCATTCCAGTCTAAGTATATTTAATCTATGTTATATTGACTTAGACTTATTTCTAAAGAAAGTAGGTTAAAACTTTAGACTATTCTTCACAACTCTTAAGACTGTTGTTGGAACTTTAACTATTATGTATATTATATTTATATCCTGCCTTTTTTACCTTTCCAGGAACTCAAGGCAGCTCATGTAATTCTCTTCCTCCTCTCAATCTGATCCACATAACAACCCTGTGAGGTAGGTTGGGCTGAGTGTCTGTTACTGGCTCAGTCACCCAGTTAGCTCCTCTCTGAGAGGATTATTTTTTGAAAATAGCAAAAACGGCTAGATCAGCAGGGGGCCACTTATTGTTAATGCTATTATAAAGGAATGCAGCTATTAATTTAAAGGATCAGTGAAATGTGCATGTTGGTGAGCCTATGACCTTCAGTTGCCAATGCTGTATCTACCTAAGGGATGAAGGGGACCAAGACTGTTCTCCTGAAGTATCATCTGGGCGTAAAGCACACACAGTGTTCAAAAATACATAGTGTCGTGTCCATGTGATCTCAGTGTACAAAACAGGTTATTATATACAGTGGTACCTTGAACGCCTCAGTTCATGACCAAATCGGTTCACGAACAAAAATTTCGGAAAAATTTTGCCTCCATTTGTGAACTCCGCATTGGGTGAAAATCACAATCGCGGCCATGTTCCCACACGAACATGATCGCGGCCATCTTCCCTGCTTGCAGTCGTAGACAGACCTGTGGTCATTTGGTGTGAAGCTTTTTTGTATATTTTTTAGCACATACAGTACTGTAATGTATTATTCAACAATAATATTGCATAATGACTCCAAAGAAAGTGCAGAGCAAGCATGGTGGTAAAAAGAAAGTGCAGAGCAGTAATGAAGGTGACCAGAACATGCAGATTTTTCGCCAAAATTGACCCTGCAGCTAAGAGACAAAGAAAAGAAGAGAGGAAACCCCTAAAGGAGATCTCCCCGATGTCCTTATGGAGCAGGACTCTCCCTCTGAACAATAACTCAGTAATCCGCCCCCCACCTAGGTTAGTGTTCTGTACTGTACTGTACTTTGTTACTTTGTTGTGCTTTGTTACTTTGCTTCAAATGTTTGTGATTAAAAAAGGTATTTACAGAATGGATTAACCTTATTTACATTGAACCTTATGGGCAAATTTGACTTGGTTCATGACCAAAATCGGTTCGCAACCATGTTCATAGGGGTCAGAATGGATTAACCTTATTTACATTGAACCTTATGGGGGAATTTGACTTGGTTCGCGACCAATTTGGGTCATGACCAGAATCGTGGAATGAATTAAGTTTGTGAACCCAGGTGCCACTGTACATTCTCAATTTCCCTTGTGAAAGGCCATGACTTGCAACAGAAGACTTTGAAAAACAAGGTTATAAAGCTGGAACAGGACATCTTTGGAGTCTGTGGACATATTTGGCAATGTTAGAAACTGTCCTGAGTGCCACCAGAAAATTGCTGCCATAGGTGTGGCTAGTCACCAAGGACAAATAAAACTTCCCAAAAGACTGAGTGTAAGGCTGAAAAGTTATACTCAGTCCCACAGTTTTCAGCACCACCAGTAGATTTCATAGCAATCCTAGCTGCTAGTAAAAACAAACAAACAAGCACTAAAGAAGTGCTATTGATTAAAAAATGTGGGAGAGGTAGGGCAGTGAGAAAGATTCCTAGGGGAACACTGGTCCTGCGGGCCTACATATCATGGCCTAACCGTGCTACAGAGGAAATAGGTATGTGTAATGAGATATATAAACATGATGAGCACTATTGTCACAAGACCTTTCCTAAACAAATATGAACAGACAAATGCTAGACTTGACATTTCACTTTTGTTACTCAGACCATGAGGATGAACTGACTGGTGGAAAGACGCAAGTCACTTGCCAAAGCAACACTAAGATACACCAAAGAGTTAACAAGTAGCATGGCATACAAAGCAGAAGTTGAAAGCTTCCCACCTGTGTCTGTTGAGGGATATTTACAAAGCTTGGATCCCGTGGTCCAACACTGACGAATCGGTTTGCAGGGGAGGTGCTGGGTGTCGAGTAGGCTGTGAAGGGAAGGGACACATGCGTTCAGGAAGCAGCACTAGATCACAGACAAACAACACCAAAAACAACACCGATCTCAGAGCCACCTAAACAAATGTTGAACACAGAAATGAGGCGATGTTGTAAGGTCAAGAATATGAATTGGGACTACTGGATTCTGACTGATGGAGAAATAAATATGAACATAATTAGGCAATACAAAACAGTCTTTCTTTCCAACACAAGCTGAGATGATGTTGTATATATGGAGGAAGGCACTCCAAGTTCATTTAAACTACTTTTGTCTTTCAGACAGTTCATTTCATACAACAGCTCACATGTAATAAGCTCTAGACTTGCAAGAACTGAACTCATTCTTAAGAACAAAGGTACTATCTTGAATAGGATTTTAAACTACATTTAATGTATGGTTCACATTCATTTGAGTGCCATCAGTTCTTTAGCACTTAAGTGCTATCAATTCATTTCAGAATTCAAGTTCCATGTTACAGGACTTAACAAATCCTGAATCACTGCACTACAGAGCTGATAAAGTAAAATGATCAACAAATAGAATGCAATTAAGTTCAGATGTGTGTGGCGAGTGGAAATTTATATAAATGAGTTGGCATTCTATAGGGCTACTGACCATGCTGCCGTGACTTGTGGCTTCCCCTTTGCAGAAGACTGAGGAGGAGGAAGCCACATACATTCCATGAATTCCATTTGTTATAACAGGAGAGCTATATAATAAAACCAGAGTCCTAAACTGGATTCGCTGCACTAGGCAGCGTAAATGGCTGCAAGGAGTGAACAGGCAGGTCATCTACCTCTTCCAAATCTTTCGTGGTTTGCACCAGCCAGAGCAGGCAGGCAGGGTACAGACATATTTCCTTTCATTATTGGAGGGCCAGTTCTATTTGTTGCCCTTCTGTCAGTTTAAACAAGAAGAAAAGTGTCTATATCACTTAGAGAATGGTGTTATGGAAAGGAAGCATTTAGGGGCCTTTCTGGAAAATGAAGGGTGTTTGAAATGAGCTCATGGGCTGCCCCTGTCTTCTCCTTGGAACCCTCCATTCTGGGTATTCAGTAGCTATATTGAATAGGTGGTAGGGGGGCATTTCTGCCCCATGGTAATTCTTTAGCTGGTGGTTCTAGGAGTTAGGATTGCTTTGAAAGTAATGCTTTTATTTTTGATCAGCATTCCTTTATTACCACTTTTCAGCCATCAAATTCAAATATTCAGTGCATTAACTAAGACTCAACTGAACATTTTCTACACACCTCAGTTCACAAAACATGAAGAATTCAGCAAGAACAAGTTTGTGTATGATATTGTTCAGGGTAATTATCAAGTGATAATGTGATTTACACATTCATAAACTGTGAAAGAAAACAAACAGATTTTGTTAAATCCTAAAGAAGTAGAAATAAATTCCAAGAAATGGAAAATCCTCCATTTGAAGAAGATTAGAACCTTGGTCATTATGCCAGCTTCTTACTAATAGAGTTGCTGATATTAGGAGGCTGATCCTACTCTCATCAAAGCAGCGGGCCAAGTATCAGAGGCAGCTAGTGAACTAATACAGTCTGATTAGAACTGTCAGTAGGCAGTAGTTGGGAAACTACATGAGTTTGTCTGAGGTTTTTGTCAGAGTACTACCAGGCAGATAGCCAACAGTTAATGCCCCTTTAAACAATGAATTTCAATGGAATTACTTTTTTTAAAGACCCCAACAATTAAGGCACATGATGTTCTATACGAGAAGTGGTTTGTGCATGATACCACTGATAGCTCCCACAGCTTATTGCAGGTAATATGATAAACTTCTGCCTAAGACCATTGAGTCTTTCTGCCAGTCACAACATAACACGCAAGGTTAGATAGACAAATAGATCTAGCAGAACACAACTTCCTACTCTTCCTTCCAGCTGCAGGAAATTGGAACTTTCCAGTTGTTGGATTCAAACTCATCATTCCTGATGTCAGGACATGCTGGGTGATGCTGGTGGGAGTCTAAGTCCAAGAACATCTGAAGGGTCATGCCTGGAGGTACATCTACCCAGCATCGGAAAAGCAAGGTGCCTTCTCTCAGCTGTGAGAGATGGCACAGCATTATCCACAATTCCATGCTAGTAGAACACAGTGCCATGATATCTTCTATAGCATGGGTCCTCAAGCTATGGCCTGCAGGCCGGATCTGGCCTACCATGCTGATTTATCTGGCCCGCCTCAGAGCTTTTCAACTTGCTTGAGGCAAATGACCTCCGAGTGAGTCCAAAAGCTTTTAGCCGGCACAGGTGTACTCAGTGGGGAGATGGCTGCAATCATGGACGCACTCGTGCAGGAAAGACAGGCGCAATCACTGTTGTGCTGAGAGGGGATGGCCGCGATCATGCTCAGGGGGGAGATGGCTGTGATAGCGCCCACCTTCCCTGCACGAACACACCTGTGATCGCACCAGTCTCCCCCACCCCGAGCACACCCGTAATCAGGCCAGTCTCTCCCCTCGAGTCTGGCACCCCAACAGTCTGAGGGACAGTGAACTGGCCCCCAGTTTAAAAAGTCTGAGGACCCCTGTTCTATAGAGTCAACTGCAATGAAGTTTTTCACAAGAGTACATGACAGCTAGCAGGGCTGGAGTTGGGATGGGCAATCCCCTCCAAATTCTTACTTGTAGTGTTCAAAATGCTTCATGAAGGATGGTTGTCAAGGATCCATAAGGTTTGTTTTAATACAAATTAAAAAACATTGCTATCTAGCTCCACATAGCAGAATAAGTTAACATATCAACTTTCAAAGTCTATTCTTAACTTATATCCCCAATTTCTAAATGTAAGCTGCAGTCATAACTATGCATGTCCAATCACATTAGCCCCTCCATCAAGAAAATATACATGAAAAACAAGAAGTTTTAGATGATATAGCCCTAACAAAGTAACCTCTTCAGCACCAGTTTACTTGAACAGACATTCAGTCCAAACTGAACGGACATATAAAACTGAATTTGGGCAGCAAAATCACAACCTTTCTGAAGGAAAATCGAGAAATAAAAACAATGCAGAGAAAGAAGTTAGACACTCCAATATCCTAGCACAAAACTGCTGGCAAGTGCCCATTGACCCACTGGCTCCTATATGCCATTCTAGTAATTTACATACCAGTAAGAGATAAAACTGAAAGAGTTACTTATTTTATAGTACTCCCAATGAATAGTGGTCTAAAGTAAGACATTTAATTATTATTTAAAGTTAGAGACCGTGTATACAAACCATGTATATTTTCCCTTCTAAGCTATGTGAGATAGTCAACAGATACACAGCAGAGGTTCCACCATGGTGCAAAAGAAATATATCAATTTTCTCTTTATATGAGACCTATGTTCTATACAACCCAACTTTCTTTATGTTATGCACAAGACAGAAAACAGTGGAAGAGCATCTATTTGATGCATGTACTATAACATCTGAGATAAAATTGGTTGCAACTCTGGGGTTAAACAATTCTAGTTAGTACAGCCAGGAACAGGTCCCCCCTACCCCCAAGACCTTCTAGAGTTTTGAACTGTCAGAGTGGACAATATTGACTTAGAAAATCCAACTTGTTATGAACAAGGTGAGAGCTATATGCAATTCCTTCAATATGATTTTTTTAAATTTTTTTGTGGCACGAAGGGCAGTCTTAAAATTCCTTACTTTTCTGAGAGACTTATTTACTCTCAAAGAAATGTAGAGTCAACAAGGATGAATGCTGGCAAAGCAGAATTCCATGCAGCAGTAATATAATGCATTGTGCAGTTTCTTCTTCTCAAAAAGAAAGATACTTACAAAGGCATAATATGAATAGCTACACTGTTCTGATATGACTGGTGCAACCATTTAAACCACTTCAGAAGTTCTAGTAAGATGCAAACAAGAAAAGATGACAGAAAACATCTGAAATACACAGTTTTGTACTGGAGCTATACTTTCTAACATAAAGCATGCTGTAAATGTTAGCAAATAGGCTTGTGACAGCAAAGTGATTCAAGAACTGAAGCCTACATAAAGGAAACGAAAGCTCAGCAGCATTTTATAGATGTGGAAGAGAATCATATTGTTCCAAGAGACAAGCAGTGTGTCTCTAGGAGAAACTCAAGTTTGATTATTTGCCACCAAAGCTCACTTGATTTTAATTTCCCCTCCTGCTTGATTCTGGTTTGTAGTTTTGGTAAATTCCTATCTGTAGGTTCCTGGATAAATACAGAGCTGCTAGTTTTCCTACTTCAGATTCCAAGAGACCCCAGGTTTGGAATTTGAAATGGACTACAGAATTCATCAATCTCAAAATCTCAGCTTTCATTTTTTAAATTAAGAATTGTAGCCTGTAACAGCTGTGGTAGAAGATTTCAAAATCTGCTTGATGAGAGTTTAAAGCAAGAAAAGGTAGCTAACAAGCAGCAGAATTTTGAGAGCTTGAGCTCTTGCCTCAATAGTTAGGACAAACAGAACAAGATTATGAACGATGTGACAATACGCTTAACTTATGCAGGTCATAGAAAATTATTTTTATTCATGCATAATCTGGGTTTTCTCGATGCAATATTTTTATTTTGTTTTATGTTTTCTATGCAAAGATGTTGATGTTATTATATTTTCCTCTTTTTTAACGCAGTGTACCAAATTCATAAAAAAACATCATAGTAGCACAATCTCATTACTTTTGCAAGCAGCTGGTTTACACCTATGGTTGGTCACAGGCAAATATAACCATATTTAAACCAGATAGTATGTACCTAGAGTTCTCCCACACAGACCAGTATGACAAGATCTGCTGCCCCGAGGCTTCGGCGAATGGGGTGGCATAGAAATGTTTTAATATAAATAAATAAATAAATAAATAAATAAATAAATAAATAAATAAATAAATAAGATCTTCCAGTTAGATAAGCTTTTACAACAAACCTAAACTAACATGACTCTCCTACTCCTGCTTGTTATCTCCATTTAAGCAAATCTCTTTACACCTATTGTTCATGTGTTATTGACACCACTCAGGAACAAAAATATCAATCAAGTCTGTGAAATATCATTAATCACACATTTGGCTCTAAGCACATTTGAGACCCAATATGCCACAAAGCACAGAACACCTGACTTCAAAAGATGAAGTCTTTCATATTGTTGTTCAACTGTAAACTCACTGACTGGTCATACACAACTCATTGTATTTGGGGAAGTTTCCAGACTCAGGTCTCTCTAGCAGTGCTTTTGCAGAATGAACAAGAAGTGGATCTGCAAGTAAGGGTCTAACACCGCAGCTAATCTTCACTGCAACCACAAAATCCTGCATCCAGACAACGAGGTTACAGGGGATAGGCATTACTGAGCCTCAGTGGAAGAACTTGGGCATGTTCATTCAGACGTAGGTTCTATTTTGTTTTTCTGACCCAATCTGATTTGTAGTCTTCAATCAAAGAAGGTTTATCCTGTGTAGCTTTAAGTTGCTCCTGATACTTTGCATGTTGGAACTGACCCTGCCTCCCATTTACAGTGCATCTTCTACACATCTCCTTGGAAGTAAGTATAACAGCAGTTAGTGGGTCTTGGTTCCAGGCAGATCTACAAGAGCTGGATCTACAAGGACAGTGAAGCCTGCTGTTGCTCTCCCAACAAAAAAATTAAGGGTCAGGAGTTAGGTACAGAGCCTGTATTCCCAAGAGTCTGTAGGTACCTCTCCTATTCTGAGACAGAGAGAGGATCTGGGGTGTGGTCAGATGAGTCCGTAATTATCAGTGAGAGGAAATTGGTAGTCGAAGGTCATTTTGGACCAATGTGGCTGAAAATATTTATTCCAAACACTGGCCCCTATGGGTGGGCTAGCAGAATCCTTGGAATAGTATTGTCCTTTTACATCATCATTAAGCTCCACAGCACAGGAAGGCTTTGCTCTGTGACTGAACCAAAGGCTCCTGAAAAGGAAAGCTGAACTGCTGTGAAGTGGGAAGACCTGGCAGCTCCAGCACATGCTGGCTCCAAGCTTCCAACATTCCTCCTGCACAAGCAGCCACACAACTGGAAGTTCTGTTCCACAGATTTATCTCAGACTTCACATACCACCATCTTTCCTTGCAGGAAACAGCAGACAGGAGGTGATTATGTCACAAAATACAAGAAAAGGATAAACACAGTTTAGCATGTCATGTGGAAGCCCCAATAACCTTCGGGATATGGGTTACTATCCGTTGCTCAATCCTGATCCTTGTAAGGTTTGATGAATTTCTGTTAGCAGGAATTCCAATAGGTGATGCTCATGCCTAGATCTCTACTGCAAGGTAACTAGAAGAAAATTTATATCTGACAAAATGTGATTTGAGGAGTCTTTCCTGATTTTGATGCAAAACTAATCAATCCTAGATTTTTGGTGTTTTCATGGTTTCTGCAGCTGTGATGTGCAAAATAGGTGAGATTATTGGCTGGACTATTTTTGTTGCATTTCTGCTCCATGGTACAGGAATAGCCGATAAAGCTGCAAATATGCACCAGCCCTTTGCTGCCCATTTACAGTGTACTTACTTGGTGAAGTGGGAGAGCTGGCACCTCCATCTGTCGACGTGGTGGGAGGCTTTGTGTCTGGCACTGGCAGAGGCACAGGCCTGGCCATTGGTGGCGGAGGTGGTGGTGGCAACATTGGAGTAGGAAGGAATGGATTGTGCACCTTGCCTTGGCTGCTGCCATTGGGCTGCCAAATACATAAGGAAAGTTAACTGTTAAATGCCTCTGGGAATAAGAGAGTGGTATAAACACTTATGGTATAACCCTGTAATTGCTCAATGCTAAACAGAAACACACACACACACAGGGGGAGAGAGAGAGAGAGAGAGAGAGAGAGGGTGCGCTGAAGATAAATTAAATCTACAGGTATCCAGACTTCCCTCCTATGAACAGACCAGAGGTAATATAACTGGATTTTTCTATCTCCCCTTCCCTTTGCAGCTCCTTGAAAATGTATTCCTGGAGGTTGTGAGAGTCACGGAGAGTAGTGCAGAACGTAGCACAGGGAGCTGCAAAAAGAAAGGATACTTGGTGGAAATCACTCCCTCTGTTACTCTGATGAAGGAACAACAGTTCAAAAAACAGGAGCAACATCTTTAGTTATTTATGCAGATTTGTGGATGAGTGCTGCTGGGGAGCTTGGTCTGAATGGTGCTGCTGCAGCCATATGCTGCTTGAGGGATGCTGAGTGCAGCTGGTTGGCCATTGTGTGAACAGAACGCTGGACTGGCTGAAACCTTGGCCTGATCCAGCAGGGCTCTTCTTATGTTCTCCCACAAGATATCTCACATTCTAAAATACAAATAATCCCATGAAGTTCATTATAATGTAGAATATACATCACAGTCCGTACTAAATTATTCCAAGGCTACAGGCCTATGCTAGGTTAGACAGAAAAACAATGGCTGGGGCAAGGTGGAAGATTTTGGGCTTTGTTTTTGTACACGTCAAGCCTTGCACCTTGATGTACTTCTGTATTGTTTATCTAGCAGTTAGTTTATGTGGAAGAGTAGAACCTAAAACCACTCTTAACATTCTGTTTCAAAAGCATAAGAAATAAATAAGTCAATTAAAATGTAGCACATAATAATGTAATTCTAGAAGCTCTGTGATTCAGAAAAATTCTCATTTTTTTCCTTTTCATTTCCTTCCTGGCCAAACTGAGGGAAAGGTCAATACAGAACTTCAGGAAAAGTCTATGCATACAGCATACCTTCAGTAAAAGTATGCTTTTGCTGTTAATTCTATTGTTCACTGGGACCTTGGGCATGCCTGTAAAGGCTGCAGCAGTCACTACACAGAATTCTAAAATGAACTGAATTTAAATCACTTAGGGCATAATCCTATGCACATTTAGGCAGAAAAAAGTCTGACATTCCCAGGATGTCCCAACCAGCAGTTAGCAGAATGGATCCTGAGAACTGTAGGAGGGTTTTGTCTGTCAAAACATGCATAGCATTATACACTTAGTCTACAATTTTCAAACCACTTTACTCACAAGAGCTAAAGTCTGGGCTGAAAAGTACAGTATTATTTTATACACTCTGCATTACTAAGATAGGGATTTAAATGGCTGGAAAAATGAAGCAGGTACTTGGCATTTTTAGAAGAAATCAAGTCTCAGGATTCATTTTGAATTCCCATTGTTCATTCTCATAGGCATTATATAGAGTTCTAATGTTTTTAGAATTCTTCTAGAACTTTTGATCTGCTTTGTTTAAAGTATTTAGTGCTACATGATGGTACAAACATTTAGTTGATCAGCTGAATGCAGAACAATTTGTGAATGAACCAGGTACTTTTAACTGAAAATATTCCAAATAGTATTTTGTTAATTTTTGTAAATTAAAAGCACAAAAATAAAACACTTATTTTCAAATGCAGAAAATACACATAGTTGAGAATGTTTAGGCTCAGGATTCTGAAGAATGCTATTTTCAAAAGGTGGCTGATACTGGAAAAAAGAAACATTGATTCATCTGAGAAGTCTTGCTAACTTCAAGGGATGCAGTTACTCATGGGTTTTGCAAGACTATTGTGTGTTCAGAAATAAGTCACAAAATTTTAAGTTCAGACAATACTTATATTGTTAAGTGCTTACGGAAGGGACAGATTCAGCATAATAGAAGATCATGTTTGACTACTTGAATCCACTGGCTATTTTTAACATTGGTCAGACTGAAGATTCTCATTTCATATGAGAATTTAGAATGTAGCATTACTATTGCTCATAAGCTTCATGAATTTTATATATGAAAGGGAAAGACACACTACCAGATGTTTGTTCCTGTTCTGCTGAACTGTGATTGTTAATGTACAGTTAGTGGATCCATTACAATTGTGGATCCAACTGTGGACTTCAGTCGAAAAGCAGTATACAAATCTATTAAATAAATGCATCAGGGTAAATATAATAACTTTGAACTTGGAATAAATTATCTGTGAGCATAACTTGTTCTTTTGATGTAGATATCTTATTTTTCTTACATATTTCTTCTTATAATTGGGCCTCTTTGTTCTTACTGCATTTAATGTTTATCAGTTTATAACAGCGCACACAATTCAGGATAAGCTAAGCAAGAAAAAAACCCCCTGCATTAATATCGCAACAGCACATACATTTTAAAGCACACTATGGATACTATTTAAAATGTCTAATTGCTAGACATACAGAATCAGAAATACGTTGGATCAGATCCAAAAGCTGTTTTGTACCTTGCATTAGAGAGAAGTGTGTGAAAAGGGAAATAATAGTGCAATCCTAAGCAAGTCTATTCAGAAGTTCTACTAAGTCCAATGGGACTTACTCTCTAATAAATGTGCTGTGTAAATCCAGATTTCATTCAACTTATGCCTGATCTTGAAGAATCTATTGCATAAGCAGAAGGATGAGAACTGCCACAGAAACTACCTATTATTTCTATAACAGAAATAAACTGAGGAGGAACAGTAGCTAATGGCTACTTTTCTGCTTGTGATTCTTTGGATTCAACTCTGGACTAAAGCCTGACAAGAATGTATTTTTTAAAAGGAACAGGTAACAATTTGAGTGCTAAAAACTACCATATACTGGGAGAACAATCCATAGCAGAAATGTAAAGGCTAAAAACAAGTATAGCAATCATTACTCTTCAATTAAGTGCCTTACCATTTGCAAGATACCAAGCATTATTGTAGATAAGGTTGCATACAGAGTTAATCATTTCTGCATACAAATGGAATGTTATTCCAATAACCTGAAGATAATTATTAAGTTTATTTAAGAAAAACAACAACCTGAGATTGCCTAACCAAAAACTTGGAACACTCTTTAATTTGTCAGAGATAAGGAAAACTAGATAACAGCTCTTAGGAATAACAAACTATAAGAAACTGTACTTTTATCTTCTTGAGTTCAAGTACCGGTCAACTTAATCTAAAGTGCCATAAGAAATCATTAAAAAATATTAAGTGAATGTGGCTGATCTGAAACAGCTGTTTCTTACTCTTCTTTCTAACAAAATAATTAATAAAAATTATAAGGTCTCTGTATTTTGTTAACCTTGGAAGTACTGGGGTCAGAAACACAAATTCGAATAATAATTTTTGGGAATGGCTGGTGAAAGTCTTGCTAAGGATGAATTAGAAGTTGAGATCACACATAAGGGTCTAACACTAACTTTAAGGCTGGAAACTCAGTCAACCAACCAGTCAAATATTGTCAGTTTGGCTACCAAACGACTGCCTATTGTTTGACCATGATCAAATATTTCATGAAGTAAAGAATGACTTTATGTAAGTGAAAGCAGGAGTAAGCAATCTTTTTCTGATGGCAGGAATAAGCAATCTTTTTCAATCCCTGAACATGTTAGGGGCATATATGCACATGTCCCTCATTTTAGGACTGGCATTCACTGCCTGGAAAATATGAGGGCTTCACATTTCCAGTCTTGCTCATTTCAGGCACATGCTCAGTTTTTTCATGCTGAACATGTGTTGAAGTGCTGCTATCTCTAAATAGGATTGAAAGGCAATGTCTAGGCAAAGGAAAATAGAGGAAGCATCTAGTCATTAATCAGAGTGGTATACATCAGAAGAACACAGAGGCTACTCAACAGTGTCTCTGCTTCATACAGGTCTTGTTCCAAAGCAGTGATAAACCCCATTAGAGAGCCTTGAGCTCATGCACATCTTCTTCTTGCCTGGTGCAACCACAAGATTCATACCCTTTGTTTGTACTCTTAATTAATCATAGCTAATCTCTGGCCTAACAGCTGTTTTACCTCCTTGCCAGGCAAAAAGTATTGTCTCTTATCAGCTTCTGAGGAGAAATACACAATTTTCCCTGCTTAGTGAAGGAGCCTCCCTCAGCATTGGGGTGGGGGCGGGGTTGTATTTCCAATCAGCAATAGATCATACATCAGCCTTTTCCCTCGGTCTGGTGCTGAGAGAAGGGAAAGGGCTTAATATTGCCACAGATCACAAATAAGCCTTCAGCCCTGCCCATCTCTGAGAAAGTCCACCACTGGGCAGGGAAAATGCATCCCTAGCTGATCTACATGGGTCAGCTGAGAAAGGAGGGCCTGGGATGGAATGTGTGTGAGCAGGGTGGGGGAGTATGATCTGGCTCATGTAATCACTCGAACTCCCCCCCCCCACCCCAACTTATTTAAGCCACCATGTTCTGGCAGCCATTGAGAATATTCAACTGTTTGCCAGAAAATGGGTTTGAAAATGAGGGTTGGGCATATGCCAGCAGTGCCTCTACCCACTTTGGTAACTGGCCACTCTCTCAGGTTGCTGATGGTATATGACCCCTAATGTCTCAGTTCTTGTCCAGAAATGGTATCCACACATTAAGATTAGCATCAATGCCCCTGGCGGGTAATAGGGGCAGGCCATTCTCAGTGAGGGAGTAGCTCATACATAGGATCTCAAGCTCATACATAGGATCATAGCTGGCTTAAACACACATACACAACCTCTTGCAGACATATTGGTTTCTGCATTTGGGGTTAAACTACATACTGCTACTGCTAATAGTATGTGTATGTTTCTGTGTTTCACTGATATTTCTAAGTAAATGTCCTTGTAATATTGTAAGTCACCTTGTGAAGACAGAGACTCCCCAAAGTCAAAGGAGTGTTTCAAATACATAATAAATTGTGGTCAAATCCTAATCCTAACAATACCTAAATTAAAATGAAAGGAAAAACTCCAGCCCTCCTCATAGCTGCAGTGGATCAGGGGAAACGCACAAGCCTGGACCTCATTCTGATAAAGCTAAAACAAAGCTTATGTTATATCTGAATGAGGCCCAGATGTTTTATACAGTGAAATCTTCTAGACTGAAGACAGTCATTTTTGCAAATATTATATTTCTGTCTGTTGATAATATACTCATAAATTAATGGTTTGTATATACCTGACCAATATTTAACAGCAGATGTCCAATATTTGACTGGTTAATTGACTAAATTCCTACCCCTCCATTTTGATTGGTTGAATAACTACCAAGCTTTAATAAGATGTACACAAGCTTTGGGGGTTTGTAAACCATTTCCCAATGGTTTACAAAACTATCACAGAATCACTTGAGAACTGGGGCCTACATACCAGTAGACTCCACTCATGTGATCCATTCACCTTTGTTGGAACATAAGCCAGTCAGTGCTAGAGAGTATTAAAGTTTTGCCCTGAGGTACAGGTGATGGAGGGTACATAAATGCAAGACGTATCTTTATATTCCACTGTACATGTACCCTTCACACCACAGCCATGTATGGACTTACCTGGAGTTGTCAGTTTGTGACAGCTGGACTCCATGTTCCTGTGTGTCCATCTGTCACAGTGCACAAAATGAACTTATATAAAGTGATTGGATGGACCTCTGGTGGCAATTCTGTACTTGGCAAGTAGGACATCGGGATCTGACTATTTTGTCTGCCCTATTGTAAAATGCTAACACTACACATTAGGCATTTAGACCTAGAATGGGCTTGCATGTCTTCAGAATACTCCCCCAGCATGTCAGTGTATCTCCTCCAACTCCTTTATGGGAAATGCATTCTAGCTGTACCCTGCTCCATTTTTTTCAGAACCATAGGCCATGAAATAGCATTGACCAGCATTGCTTCTGGGAGCTGTTACTGGCATAATAGCCTGTCCTGATTCAGAGTCTTATATATGATAAGATATTGTACCTAGAAACTAATGCTAGTTATTTAAATGGCATTAAAGCTGCTTTTACATCTGACTCAAAATCAGCAATATTTTAGCATGCAAAACCAATAGCATCAGCCAGTCACCATAAAACAACTTTAATATAGCATTAAGCTAACTCTACCCATCATCAGCTGGTTTTGACTGAATCACACCCTAGAGTCAGTTTGTTTTTTGGAACAGACAATAACTGAGGCCTTATTTTTATCAGTATGAAAAATCCCATGGTTATTTGACATCAGAATAAAAACATCTGAAGAAATAGAAATGGCTTCCTTACATTTAGGAACCCCACCTGTCCAGCCTGCTGACCAGCGTCGGGGCAGACAAGTTGGACAAACTCTTTCAAAGTCTCCTGAGGATGATAGCGGATTGCTGGGTGAGAGAAGTATGGCCCAGGCTGTTGAATGATGGGTGATGTTGGAAAATGAAGAGTCGATGGTGTTGCATGTGGACTTGCTATAGGAAAGAAAACAGAATATGTTATAAAGAGTACGTTTTTGGATTTGGATGAACATAGTTCAAATGTATTGCACCTCTAATTATTTTAAAGATACCCTTTGCTGGGAAAAAAAATCTCCTATATGTATACATCCCAAGTTAGGCAACAAATATTCTATGTATCATTCTTCATAGTACATCAAGTCATATTGAATTCTATAGCACATCAAGTATAGGAGCAGAGCTTAAATGCAGCCAGATTTTAAAATGTCTTTTCTGCATTTTTAGTGGTCATCATTTATAAAGGAGCCAGCAGTCCTTGGTAAAAGTGACAACTATTCATTACCTTAAGAGCCTTTCTAATGAATCCAGCAATAAAAAATGTATTTGGGAGATTACAGTTGATTTAATTGACATTCTGCATAATTCTGGTTTGCACATTGGGACCAGTTTTATTTTGAGCTATAAATGGGCAATAACGTAATGATGGTACTCTTGCAGTCTTTGTTTATACTGCTTTTTCAGCTCAGTGGAAGAATCCTATTTTTGAATTAATTTGCTTTCATGTAAACCAACATTTACATTTTTTTTCTTTTATAAGTGAGAAATGAATATTAAACATGCCTCCAGATAAATTTTAGGAATGCTGCTTTGAGGAGTCCAGGATAGGTAATTCACACATGCCAGAAAGTCACAAGTGAAGACTACAAGAGGAAAGCAATGCTATTTTAAATACCCCAAGACAAAGAAAAGAATGTGTATAAATCCTTATGCACATATCCAAAGTATATATGAGTACTTATACCCATATATACTTTGATGGGTATAAGTCATGTCATCTGTTTGTTCGGCGCAAATAGTTAAATATTTTTAAAGTCCTAGTTGTGCAATGGAATGGCATAACATGGCTACATTTGTTCCACAAGAATTTGGTCATAATAACAATTAGTGTTTACATTACTATTTCCCTAATTGACTGATGTGCTTTACATATGTTTATCTAAGTATCGGCATATATGTCATCAGCATGTGCAGGAGCCTAGAAATATCCTCCTCATGAAAGCATCACCATGCTGCCACTGTATTTTGCAGCACAGCATGCTGTGTTGTTTTTGCTTCTTGTGTGGAGAACTTCCAACTAAATAATATTTCCAGCAATAGCTGGTGGCACTGTACTAGCCATTACACTATACTAGTGTGGATAAGTCCATCATGAAAAAGTCAATTAATACGATGGAAGTAATCTCTAAGCTACTTTTCAATAACCCCTACAACAACCCTACAAGTAGGCCAGTTATGAATATGGCTTGCACAATCCAAATATGCTACTATGCCTTATTTAAATCATAGTGCTTGCAGGGCATGAATTCTATAATCAGTACCTGGGTACAGCTTATGTTATCCAAACCTAGGTGACATGGCTTGGTGGAGGGCAAACCAACCCTTCAATAAACTATGAGCTGTTATTTTTCCCTCCAACAAACTATGCTTCCTGGCTTCACTTTAATTTAAATACATTATTTTGTTCACATGAAGCAGCCTAGTATCTCCACCCTGGGAAGGGGACTGAGGCTAAGAGCTAGTAGCTTGCCTAAGGGCATTTAGCAGAATTTCGGTATGCACCTTATATTCCTTCAAGGTGAATGCAGTCAGCTTTCTGTGTTGGCAAGGTAACCCATTCTTTCATAATCAGTGGCAGGAGACTAGGTCTCAGGGAATCTGGGGACCTGATCACTCAGCATGGAGCTCACTGGGTGGCTTTGGGCCCATCACAGGCTCTCAAACCAACTTATATCACAAGATTGTGAGGATAAGATTGTGAGAATTATGTAAGCTGCCTTGAGTTCTTTTAAATGCAACAAGGAGGGATATAAATATGGTTAATAATAATAATAATGACAATGACCAAATACATAGAGAAAGTGGTACTATGGCATACTAAAGCATAATGATAAAGATGAAACTTCTGTTCTGTCTTTAGTTAGCGTCTAAGTGAGAAGAAAGGTATGACAGCCATTTTAGGCAATTCATGCAACCATATTTAAGATGACATTCCACAACTCAGGGCTACTGTATGAATTAAGGCTACTCTCTGAACAATAATACTACCATTTGAATTCTGAGGAAATGTAACATTTTCAAAAGGACAGCAATCACTTGCTAAAGGATTCCACGGAACAAATTCAAATGCAATATAAGTTCATGGTATCTAGAAAGTCTAATACGTTTCTGT